GTGTGTGCATGCCCATTAGCTTGCCAGAGTGTGTGTGTGTGTGTGTGTGTGTGTGTGTGTGTACCTCTGTGGCTCCGTGCTGCTTGGTCTCCTCTGACAGCCACAGTGACAGCACTGTGGGGTCCGACTGCTTCACACTGGGCTCATCCAGAACCAGCAGGCCCAGATTGTCGGCTTTACCGTCCGGCCTCGGCACCTGAAAGCGACACACAGTGATGTCACGGTGATGTCACGGTGATGTCACGGTGATGTCACGGTGATGTCACGGTGTCTGAATGGCGTGTTCAGGTGAGTGTGCACCTTGAGGAAGGCGTCGATGTCTCCCACGGCGGGGATGAAGTCGGGGATGAAGGGCTTCAGACTGTGTTCCAGCTCCATGGACTGGGGAGTGTACCTGACAGGAGACAGAACCCGATTACAAAACCCAATTCTGCTGCTGGCCACAGCGGGGTCTGTCCGCGACACAAGTTTGTTTTTACGGGTTTTATTGTCGGCCAAATTCTAACTGGGACGTGTAGAAAGAAGCTATTTGAGATCTGGTTGATGTTCCTGATGGAGCTCCTAAGCTGGCAGCTCATGGCCGGTACCCGGTGTGATGTTCGTGCTGCCAGCAGGCTTTGGGCTCAACGATGCCGTTTCATTTTCTCACCATGACGAACATTTGTGTTCATAAAATGTTCAGAAATGACAGAAAATGGCGAGACGTGTCAGATGAGGTACCACAGACGCCTCCCTCATAGCGTCTCACCGTGTGATGTACTGGAACAGCTCTTTGATTTCGGTGCTGACGGGCAGGTTGGCGTAGTCTGCCGGGTCGTACGCTCCCTCCGGGGCTTCTGCCGGCTCGTCGTCTTCGTCGGTATCATCCTCATCGGTGTCCTCCTCCTCCTCTTCCTCCTCCTCCTCCTCCTCCTCGTTGGGACTGGTCCCCGCCGGCTCCTTGGCTCTCGGAGGCTTGTGGTCCTCGTCGCTGCTGCTGTTGGCCGACATCAGGCCTCGGACTCTGCGGCTCCTCCTGGACTCTGACTGGAGAAACCAACACCACTGAGACTAAACCACTGCTGCTGCCATTAGAGGTCAATGAACAAACCACTCCCACCTACTCTGACAATCAATGAATCAGTCTCAGTTCTGTGATGTCAGCGTCTTAGGTGTGATGATGTTCTGCTTCCTTTCCTCCTCTGTGACAGTAAACTGAAGATCTTTGGATAAAACAAGACGTTTGTCATCTTGGACTTTGAATCTTGGAAACACTGACATCTGTCACCATTTGCAGGCATTTTATGGAACAAACAGCGAGTTGAAATGTTGAAGACTGATTATCGATCAACACCTTCAGTCATTGTCCAGGCAAGAGCAGCGACTACACCACAAATACATAAGATGTGTTCTGTTTTACCATCAACTGAACACTGGGCCTGTTTTGACCCGCTACAAGAATGATCGTAGAGACAACAGCTCATTTTCTGATTATTGTTGTAAGGAAGGGACTAAATGTGTTTTAACCCCCGGCTCAGTGACAGTGGAGGCCCGTGGTCAGGCGGCACGGGGCCCGGCGGGCAGGTGGCCTGGCTACCTGGCGCTGGCCGCGGGGTGTCAGGCTGTAGACGCTGGCCACCTCCTCTCCGTCGGCCACCTCCAGACTCTCGTCGTACGGCTGGTTCTTCAGCAGGCGGCCGGCTCTGTCCCAGTCGCCCCGCTCCATAGGCGGACCACACTGGTCAGCACTGATCCCACCGTGCCTCTGGACGTTTAGGCCGACCTACAGAGCAGTTTGTTCCTGGCAGAGACAGAACAGCTTAATTACTCCGTAAATGATCCTTTCAAACCAACTTCTGCGCACTTTGCTTCTGTTTTCTGCCGGTTAAAATAAACTTTTCTCTGCTTTAAGGAAACCAAAACACACAGCAGCTAACAACAGGACCTAGCAGTTAACAGCAGCACCAAGCAGCTAACAACAGGACCTAGCAGCTAACAAGAGGACCTAGCAGCTAACAGCACTACCTAGTAGCTAACAGCAGCACCAAGCAGCTAACAACAGGACCTAGCAGCTAACAAGAGGACCTAGCAGCTAACAGCACTACCTAGTAGCTAACAGCAGCACCAAGCAGCTAACAACAGGACCTAGCAGCTAACAAGAGGACCTAGCAGTTAACAGCACTACCTAGTAGCTAACAACAGGACCTAGCAGCTAACAGAACTACCTAGTAGCTAACAACAGGACCTAGCAGCTAACAGTAGCACACAGCAGCTAACAGTGGGACCTAGCAGCTATCAGTAGTACCCAGCAGCTAACAAGAGGACCTAGCAGCTATCAGTAGCACCAAGCAGCTGACAGTAGCACCAAGCAGCTGACAGCAGGACCTAGCAGCTAACAGTAGTACCCAGTAGCTAACAACAGAACCTAGCAATTAACAGCACTACCTAGTAGCTAACAGTTGCACCAATCAGCTAACAGCAGCACCCAGCAGCTAACAGCAGGACCTAGCAGCTAACAGCAGCACCCAGCAGCTAACAGCAGCACCCAGCACTGTCCAGCAACTTACACCCAGCAGACAGCGAGGCGTCTGGAACCAGGTGTCCGTCCCAGACTGCAGACAGACGGTGTCCAAGACGTTTAAATGTCGTTTGTTATACAGTTGAGTTTAGTTTAGCGACGTTGATCTGCGTCCAAACGGTGTTTATGAGAGAAGCTAACCGGATGGCGCTGGCGGTGCACCGTATCCTGGCAACGGGCCGCGCAAGGCATCATGGGTAGTGTAGTTAGATTACCCAGAACCACCAAAGTTACTCAAACGTGTACGAAATAGAACGAATTTGTCCAAACTGCAGTAAAACTGAAGGTTAAAAACGAAATTAATTCGTCTAAAAGGAATTATATTTATCCAAAAGTACACACATTTGGTCAGAAATGGCCTCAAAGCTGTCCAAAATGTACATTTGTCAAAGAATGTCTGAAGAATTTGTCCAAAATGGCAAAAATTTTGTCAAAATGTCTCACAAATTGTCCAAAATATACAAATTTGTCATAAATGTTTTAAAAATGATACCAAATTAATTATATTTGTACAAAACAACATACATTTGACCAAAATTACAGAAACTCAGAAACAGAAACTACAAAATATCAAAACATTTTCCCAAATGACAAAATAATTTCAAAGGTATTTTACAAATTACCCAAAATTGCATAAATTTGTCAAAAATTGATGTAAAAAAATAAGAATTGTCCAAAATGATGTGACACAAATTTGTATAAAAGGTTTAAACGAGTCCAGAAACATGCTGAGGTTAATTGGTGATTGTAAATTGTCCGTAGGTGTGAATGTGAGTGTGCTTGGTTGTCTGTCTCTAAGTGTAGCCCTGTGATAGACTGGTTACCTGTCCAGGTGAACCTGCCTTCACCCTGAGTCAGCTGGGATAGACTCCGCCCCCCAGTGAGGATGGACGTTTATCTCCACTTTACAAAGTTCTCAACATCAGAAGTTTCAAACGAAGCAAACTAAAGAACAATGCTGCCACTTTGACATAAAAAACAACTATTTTATTGACTGAAGAACACAGACTGAGTCAAAGGCTGCTTCAGAAGTGATGCTCGGTGGTGACAGCAGCGATGACATCATCGTACTGCTCGCTCGGTGCTTCATCCTCCTCGCCGGGTGAGGACGTCGCCATGGAAACAGGCAGGTTTCTCCTTCGGGCGGCATCAGATTCTGCAAATAAACGTGACATGTGTCATTATGTGCTGTGCAGTTCTGCTTTTCCAGCTGCAGTAATCACTCGCTCTCTTGGACGTCCGACTGGATCGAAACGTCGCGTTCAGTCAAGAAAATACTCGTGTTCGTTGTCGTCATGCGTTCAGAGTGCGAAGGTGTCCGTGATGCTGGTTAGCGGTTAAACAGGAGACTCTTTCAAGTCCGACGAGGACGACAATGAAAAGGACACGTTTTAGATTCTGGACTTTGTTCAGCAGCACTCATGGAGCTGTGTTAGACCAGGTTTTGGACTTAGTTTTACACTGGTTCCGGACCGGTTTGGGCAGACTTTAGATCCATTCCAGACTGATTTAAGAATGGTTTTAGACTTTTTCCAGGACTGAAATCGTTTCCTTGGTCCAGCTCTACAGGAGTGAGGCTGAGCTTCTGCCATCAGGACCCCTGAAGTGAAAACCCTTTTTGATAGGCTTGCTTTCATGTGACATCGTCTATTTGAATTGATTTTATTTGTTTGCTTTATGATTTATTGTATTTATTTGCCATGAACAATAACAATGCTTCTGGCCTTGTCCGTCTGGTTTTACACTCTTTTATTCCTCTGAGTCTCATGTGATTTTTGGTGCTTTTACGATCCTATCTGGTGTCGTAGTGATTTATTTTGTACGTCTTTCACCATGTTTGGCTCCATTTCTACACTTTGCTTCTCTGGTCTTGTTCTGTTCGGCCCGACTGGCCTCCTGTTGTCCACTGGTCCACTGCTTATTTTCTGTCTGTGAAGCATGAAGTGCTTTTAAAACGGAAACAGAGCCATCATCATCATCATCATCACTGCTTACACACTGTCCCCTCCCTGTCCTCTGACCATCTGAGCATGTTCTGGGTCGGTGAGCCCAAAGACAGCACGGCGCTGCAGCAAACTTCAGACTCAGAGTGACTTTTAGTGACAAGTGTTACCTGAGGGCCTGCGTCGGTACAGAGACACCATGAGGACGGTGGAGATGACGTATGGACAGCACACCACCATGTAGCAGATCACCCTCAGAACGCTCAGGGCCTCCGGCGCTGGAGCCGCTTCATCTGGACCTGGAGGCAACAAACACACCTGCTCAAGCCGACAGTCACAAACCAGCCAGTGTGTCCGTGGTGAGAACATCACAGGTGTATCTTCACTGCGTTGTGGCCACGTTAGACAGCATGCTCCACAAACAGAGGCTGCTTCAGTGACTTCACTGAAGATCCTGGTCGCAGCCTCCATGTTGGACGACTGGGAGCCTTCTGGCAGAGCTGTCTGACTGCACGGTCCAGGTCTTTGGCAAAACTTTTAGCTTCAGTGCAGAAGGTTGCAGCTGTTTCAGTCAGACCACTTTAAACGTCACACAAAGAACCCACAAAGGGAAACACAATGACCAAAACGTGACACAAGTTACCACAAAATACGTATAAAATGTACAAAATGTGAAGTGATTCAATACAAACAACCCATGAAGGCCTTCAAATACAGCAAGAGGTCTGAATAAAATGCAAACTATCACAAACCAGTACTCTGATCTTATATCAGTTTTTCTGAGCAGTGCTATGTCTGGTTGCTGGTTGCTCTGATTGGCTGACATGTTGCCTCTGGCACCACAGACAACATGAGGGTTCTGGACACTCAGACCCAGACCTGCAGGGAGTTTTCTGATTCTGACCTCACCTCTGACCAACAGCCGGCTGGACGGAGACTCGCCAAGACTGCCGATGTGACACTTGTAGAGGCCTTCATCGGACTTTGAGACGCTGTAGAGGGTGATGTGACCTGCAGGCTCGGTCCTGATGGGGGCGCCGTCTTTATAGAAAGCAGCTGGGAGGCTGGTGGGGTGCCGGGACCGACAGCGCAGAGTCACGTTGTCTCCCTTCATCACAGGGAGGACGGGACTCTCAAGGATCACCGATTTATCTGGAAGATAACGCAGCAAACTGTCAAGAGCCTGGACATTAATGCACAACAGCACCAGAAACATGGATGTTAACGCCAGGCTTGTGAGCACCGGATGGATCTTTGGATCTGGATCTGGATGTTCAGAGCGGTCCTCCTACCGTGCACCGTGAGGTTGACCAAGTTGCTCCGCCGCCTCGCAGGAGACTCGCACCAGTAGAGGCCGCTGTCTTTCTGCTTGGTTGTGGGGAGGCTGCAGCCCGACGCGCTGACATCCCCCCAGTCGCCACACCTGCTTATGTTGCTGACCGAGGTCTTGGACCGGTGGACTGTCCATCCATGGAAGCTGCTTTTCTCACCACAGTTCAGAGACAAGTGCTGATACTCGAACATCTGGGACGAGTCCGGAGACACTGTGAGGGACGCCGAGTCAGAACCATCTGGGGACAGACAGACGTTAGCTCAGTGTGGACAAGGTGCTCACGTCCTGTATCTGCTCGTACAGACAGCAAAGACATCCAGAGTAAAGACGGCAGGATCTATTTCAGAGCTCCTGCTGGAGTTCATGAGAGATGCTCTCTGGATATTAGCACAAAGTAGAACTTGGAAATGACTTCACAAAGTGCTTCAAGACTTGATGTTGACACACAAAGTATCAGAAAGCTGGACATTAAAGCAGTGAAGTGACCTTCCACCAGCAGCCAGCTCAGTGGAGACTCCCCACGGTCTTTGATGCTACACTTGTAGGCGCCTTCATGGTTCTTGGAAACGTGGTGGATGGTCATGTGACCCGCAGGTCCGGACCCAATGACGGCACCGTTCTGATAGAACTGAGCCTGCAGGTCGGACCTTTCCTTGGTCATGCAGCGCAGAGTGATGTTTCCTCCCTCCGTCACCGGCATGGCGGGACTCTGCAGGATCACCGATTTATCTGCACAAACAACCAGGATGTGTTCAGCGTTCAGAAAGAAACATGAGCACCAGACCTTCTCTGATCCATCTGCCTTTGCTTTTCTGTGTGAACCGTCATGAAGTCAGGCAGCTTTTCTTTTAGCTGTGAGTGTTCATGGCTGAGTCATACTACAACCAGAGATTCACTTCTCTTTACTGGAACCAGTTCCTTTAAAGTGTCTCTGCTTCACAACTTTAACCCAACCCGTGAATCACACGCGTCACGTTGAACGTGAGGCCAAATCTGCAGTTCGATTGCTTGTCAGGAAACAGGAATGAGGACAAGGAAGTTGTGGTGCCCTGCGGGGTGTCGGGTGAATCTCACCAGTGATGGTGATGTTGACGCCGTCGCTGCTGTCTCTGTATTTAGACTGACACCAGTAGACTCCAGTGTTGGACGCCTTGACAGCGTCCATGTGGCAGGTGGAAGACTTCTGGCTGCCCCAGGCTGAGCCACACTGAGACAGCACCAACCTTCAACACATCCATGGACAAGGGTCAACAAGCTGGACACTAGTGTCCAACAGAATCAATCTAGATATAAACACAAAGTGACAGAAACCTGGATATGAAGGGACCAGTTCATCATGAACCTGATTCAGCAGGTGCAACAGCTAAAACCAAACAACCCTGGATGTTAGTGCCCCACAGACCTGGATGTTACCCTACCAAGGTGTCAGACATCTGGATATTAAGCTGCAAAAATGTGAAAAACTTGGATATTTGGGTACAAAGGTGACAAAGATATTAACACAAAAAGGCGTCTCAGCGACATCTATCAGGACTGAATGATGCCACCGTGTTGGCATAAAAACCTGCTAAAGTTCTCAAAGGAACCTCGAGTCAGACAGGACCAGTTCTATGAAAGCTGAGCCCTTCAGGTTTGACTGGGAGCCGGAGCAGCTGATCCATCTCATCTGACCGCGAGACATCAGTCACCACATGGCATGGTTCAAAAACAAGTGCCTTCGACAGCCCTGAAGAAGGCTGAGCTGATGGGTCATCGAAATGAACCCAAACCCAGGAACCATCAGAAGTCTGGTTCTGCTGTGTCGGCGGCAAACTCACCCTTTGGTCGTGTATCTCCAAACCGTCCACCCACCAGCGCCGAACTGCTCACAGCTCAGAGAGAAATGCTGGTACTCAAAGAACTGGGCCTGGTTGGGTTCCACCACCACGGAGGCTGAGGAACACACACAGCAGGTTCTAGTATCCCAGCAGTGGAGAACATCACCTACAAGTTCTGGTATCATCTAACATCAAATGTTCAAAGAAAGTTTCAAGAAAGTGTTCATTTCCAGCAATGTTCCTTTAAACACGCAGACCAATCAGAAACCTGGTAACAGGGTCCCAGAACATCTAGGACCTGGGTGCTAATGCAGAAGGTGTCTACAACAGGGACATTAATGCACCACAATCCTAAAGCCGGGATGTTCATACACAACTGTCAAAACATTCATGCACAAAAGCATCAAAAATCAGAAAATGATTGAAGGATTGAGAGGTTTTGTGCGATCAGAGACTCATACAAACCGCGGCGACGCTATGAAGACAAGAGCAATGCTAAAACCGTTATGTGCAGAAAGACCTGCACGTGCAACACCTGCAGGACTTATGTGGCGTCCTCATGTGCACCATGCAGGTAGTTCTGATCAAACAGCGTCCTGTGCAGAGAGGCCGAGTGCTGAGAAACGGTGTAAACGGTTATGTGCAATGTTTGATGCTGAAAGCTGAAGTACTGCACAGAAGTCTCAGAAACCTGGATTGAAATTTGAAATAAACTGAGTCACAATGAACACGTCAGAAATGTATTAAAACTCTCGTAGTTGCAGATTTTTTTTAAATATACATATTTAAAATTTGCCACCTAAGAGGCCAGAAACAGTCACCACTCCCAGTAAGTTAGCATCTTGTCACCAGCACTTGCTGGATTTACGATTATCCGGTGGCTTCGTCTGCGTAGACGCGATTTCTTGGGAGTGTCGGCGAAGCCTGGAAGCGCTACACGAAGCGGCGGACTGCTAGCAGCCGACAGCAGGACAAGCAGAGGCAGTGTGACTGAAGGAAGCGCGGCTAGCAGCTAAGCTAACAGCTAAGCTAAAAGCGAACCCCTACAGAACGCCGCCTCCATCCGTCTTCCTCGCTAACGTTTGCTCCCTGGAGAACAAAACAGATCATCTGCAGCTGGATTTAACAACAACACTAGAGATGAGGAGCAACAATCCTGAAGGTTTGGAGGTCACTGACTGGGACGTGCTTTCTAGACAACAGCCTCACCGACATACATGGCTGTGTACCATGTCTACCAGCCGGGCCAACAGAACCCTGGATGACTGATGACGGACGCAAAACACTAAATGCACAGAACTAAGGCTTCAAGTCTGGTGACGACTATCCAGCACCGAGAACACCAAGAGCCAACTTGAACCGCGCCATCAGACGAGCAAAGTGGTCAAAAAATCCCTGAGGAGAGTCCAGACATGGAAAACACACCTGAGCAGGTGTTCAGGGAACGTACAGATCACCTGGCTGATGTTCTAACAGACATTTTTAACACCTCACCGGATCAAGCCAGAGTCCCGTCATGTTTCAGGACCTCAGCTCACATCAGTCAACGCCGGCAGGCAGACTGGGACCCCTGAGCTTCAGCAGCCTCCTGTCCGACCCGCCGCTAGACCTCCTCACTGACAGACCACCTCCAGGGTCCTCATCCTCAGGGCTGCGTCCTGAGCCCTCTGCTGTCCACCCTGATGGCACACGACCAACCACAGCGGTGGCGGGCCTCACCAGGGACGACATTGCCCCGGCCCGTAGAGTGGAGGTGGAGCAGCTGGTGCACGACAACCTGATCCTGACCGTGGACAAAACCAAAGAGATCACTGTCGACTCCTGGAAGAACCGGCCCGGCCACGCTCCACCTCTCATCAACAGCCCGGCTGTGGAGGTGGTCAGCAGCATCCAGTTCCTGCACATCACAGACGACCTCGGCTGGTCCGTCAGCACTGCGTCGCTGGTCAGGAGGCTGCAGCAGCGCCTGCACTTCCTGAGCAGGATGAGGATGCCCACTGTTCCTCGGCCTCACCACGCTCCACGGCAGCACCGTCCAGAGCATCCTGACCTCTGTGCTGTGGAGGCTGCAGCGCCTCTGACTGGAAGGATGTGAGGAGAGTGGTGAGGCCAGCAGAGAAGATCACTGGAGCTTCTCCTGCCACCGTGGATGTTAGTGCACAAGTGTCAATAAACTGGAAATGACTGCACGAAAGTGTGAAGAATGTGGATAGGAACGGAAAAAAAGTCTAAACCCTACAAATTGCTGAACAAAACCGTTTAAACTTTGGACAGAACGTGTCAATGAACTGGTTCATGATGAACACGGATGTCAACAGCTCAGACTTTTCTCGTCCTCTCGCTTTGACCCGTCAGTCTGCAGAGTGAAATCACGCTGAACAGCACGATCACATCACAGCGCATCCTCCTCGTCTCCCTAACGCCACCTGACTTTTGCCTTTGCGTCAGTTATGCGGCCACCAGAGGGCGCCGTCTGTGGAGCCTCAAACAACAGCTGCTGGAGGAAACCTTCTGTCTGCGGGGAGTTTTCACAGGTTTGAAATTTAACACAACACAAACCATCTCTAACGTTCAAGCGATGTTTCATATACGGAGGATCTTACCGCGAGCGTCTGTCGCCGTCCGGCAGCATCTCATCAACACTGAAACACAGTCAGACCACCGCAGTGTCCGTTAGCTTCACCTTCACTGTTCAGCTCATGTGTTGAGACCAAAGTCGAATTTAAATCCATCACGTGTAGCTTTGACCTGCAGTAAATTCCTGTTTCGGATGATAATTATGACCTTATTGATAACTTACAGAGCAGAAGCAGAATCGTCCTCATCGTGTCTGTTGGATGGAGCTGAAGCTGGTCACAGAGGTGCTGAAAACATCCTGTTAAAAACCACGAGTAGGGAGGAGGCTGTCAGCGCAGCCGGCTGAGCCGAAGTGTGACACAAAGAGAAAACCTCGATATTAGTGCAAAAAATAGAAGATTGCAGCACAACACCGTCAAAGACCTTCAGCTTTACCGAAAAACGTGTCAGAAATCAGTCAGCTACAGCACAGCGCTGTCAGAAGGCCAGATGTCACCACACAGGTGTCACAAAGCCACAAGTTAAAGCACAATGGTACCAAACTAAAGTAGAACCTGTCAGGAACAAGGATGTCAAAATCCTGTAAGCGAACCCAAACCGTGGTTGTACGTACTTACAGAGTCATCTTCATGTGTCTGTCGGACGTCTTCACCGACGCCTGGTCACAGAGGAGCTGAACACACATCCTGTTGAAACCACAAGGAGGAAAGAGGCTGTCAGTGCAGCCAGCTGAGCAGAAGTGTGACTGTATCTGCTTTGTGAACGCTCATCGACATTCATCTTTATCCATGGCTGCACTTTCAAAACACACCTGTTGCCAGATACCTGCATTTTGCTGCTAATGTGTCTGAACAGGAACAACAACCAGACCGAGCTCACATCCTGTCGGTACCATCAAAAGGTCAACTTGTGTTGTTGCCTCCTCGTGTTGAAAGAACAGGCGGCTGCCGGAGAGGCTTCGGGGAGCTTTTGCTCTTCACACCTCGACGCTAGCTGGAGGCTGAAGTGCAAGGAGGCAAAGTGCTGAAGGCCTGTGCTGTCAGGGGTCCTGACGAGGATCTTCAGCACCGCCCTGAAGCAGGCCGGCGTCCCATCCGGCCTGAAAGCAGCCACCATCGTCCCCACCCCCCAGAAAACACCGTAAGCTGCCTGAATGACCACAGACCGGTGGCACCAACGTCCGTGGTCATGAAGTGTTTGGAGAGGCTCGTCCTTCACCCCTCCACACCGCTGAGAGGAACCAGGCAGGATGTCAGGATGCTTTGTGTAGACTTTAGTTTGCCGTTTAACACCATCTTGCTGAACATTCTTATCAAAAAGCTGACTGACCTGGACTCCCCGACGGATCGCCCACAAACAGTGACGGCTGGGCTCCATAGATCCTCCATCCTGACCTCACTTCCTCCTGTGTGCTCTGTCCACAAACATCTTCGTCAAATTCGCAGATGACCCAACAGCAGTGGGTCTCATCATCAGCGGCGACGAAGCAGCTTACAGGGAGGAGGTCCAGAGGCTGGTGGTGGGTTCAGGTGGGTGAGGCAGATCCTGTGTTCCCTGAGGTGCACATTGCTGACGAGTCAACGTGGTCCACCAACACGTCAGCAGTGGTCAGGAAGCCCAACAGACACGGCTGCCGGAGAACCGCTTAGGAACCGCTTTCATCCGCGGGCCGTTAGGTGTTAAACTCCAAGGAGGAACCTCCACGGACTCTTGTGGACAGTTTCTTTGGTCCAACATGAGTGTCTGCACATGTGGACTTCTGCTTCTCTCTGTTCCTTACTTTTATTATTTAAAGGCATTTTGTGTTTGCTGAGCTGCTCCCACCAATGTTGTTGTTCTTGTGTATAATGACGATAATGTTCTGTTTTATTCTAACACGCACAAACTCCAGGTCACACTTTTTATCCATCAAAAACCTGGATAATAAGGCACACATGTTAAAAGTCTGCATAGAAACACAAAAGTGCCCCAAAAAACAAGTAACGCACCAACGTGCCTGTAAACGGTCACAGACACGAGTTTAAAATGTAGATCTCAATGCACACAAGTGTCACAGCAGCTCCACAAGTCTGCAGGTTCCTTCAAAGTGCCAATAAGCTGAGTGACAACAAACACAAATGTCAATAAATACATAAATAAATTGTGAACATTCACACACTAATGTGTCACAAACCTGCAAATTAATGCATTAATTAGTGTCATGGAAATGGAGCTCAAGGCAAATACAGGTACAAAAACCAAAGGTGACTCACAGCAACGAGGTCAGGCAGCAGAGCCAACAGAGCACAGCTGGTCCAGGAACAAAACACCCACTGATCCAAAAAGACGAAGAACCGGGACAAACCAGAGCCACTAATCAGGGCGGGACACACAATCACAACAGGCAGGAAACACACAGAGGAAGGAAGCTCAGACACACACGAGCTCAGCAACTTCAAAATAAAAGAAGAAGCGGGACAGAGACGAGCAGAGGAGGAGGTCCGACAAAACCAAACGATGACACAAACGTTTCATTAGCCGCTCGATTAATGCGTGAAAGTGTCGGAAATGTGAACATTAATGAATAAAAGTGTTAAAAATATACGTATATAATAAAATGTTAATAACAACAGACAGAAATATCCACAACCCGGACATGAACGCACTGAAGTGTAAAAAAACCAACAGGTAATAATGCAAAGAAGTACCAATAACATGTACATTATTCTACTAAAGAGTCAAAACCTGGTTAATACTGAACAGAAATGTCAGAAACCTGGATATTAATAGACAAAAACAATCAATAACCTTTGTAATTATCACACAAAAGTGTCAAAATCTGGATATTATTGCAAAAAAAAAAACTGTAAATGAATGAAGAGCAACGATAACAACCTGGACATCAGCGCACAAAAGAGTCAAAAATATGGATATTAGTTCACAGAAGTAGCAATAGCTTGTAAATTATAGTAGAAACGTGTCAGAAATGTGGAAATTAATGTGTCAAGTGTGTAAAAAACAAAAAAACCACCTGTTATAAATGCACACGACATCAAACACCGATAACTCTGTGTTTTTATTAAACGAAAGTGTCAAACAATTTGAATTCTTTTCCTTAAAAGTGGAAATGAAAATGTAGCCATGAACGCAGAAGGCTGTCTAACTGTCTAAACCTGCATGCTGGTCCTCAGAGACGTGTTTCTGGTTCTGGGCTCTGGCCTCCCACCGCCGCTGCAGACTCACTGACACAAAGTTTCCGCTGTGAGGTGGAAAGTTTTTCGTTTCGGGGCAGTGTGACGCCTCGGGCCACCGGGCCAAAGACCAGAACTGATTTGACTCTCAGAGGTTTTTGTGGGTCTCTGCAAGAAGCTCTCAACCTCAGGAGCCCCTCAAACAGGCTCCCAGCAGAACCAGCTGCACTGATACGAGTCCACTGGCATCACTTAAAGACCAGCAGAAGTCTCGTTAAAAACCACCTGAAGCTGTTGTTCTGCAGACAGTCGGGTCACCACAGAGAAGCGTGGTGCTGCTTCCTCTGCTGGCTGCAGCCTCTTGTTTCCACTCTCGCCTCCGTCCGACACCATAGTGTGGTGTAAAGAACAAAAAAAAGGTGAGAGCAGTTCCACAGAAACAGGAAGCACTCGCTGTTTGTGTGTCAGAGGCCGGCGTGTGCTGCAGATCTGTCTGATTAGATCATGCTGCTTCATGTCAGTGTTCAGCAACCTGATCGATAACACACAGTCACTGACCAGAACCCTGATGCACAACGCTGTCAAAAACCAGGATGTTAACGCACAAGAGTTTGAACAACCTGCAGGTTAATGCAGAAAACTGTCAAAAACGTGGATGTTAACGCACAGAAGTGCACAAAACCCTAAAACTCACTGTTCAAAACTGCCACAAACCCTGATGTGACGACAACGGCTCCAAAACTGGATAATAAAGGTTTGAAAACAGCCTCTTTAAAATGATCCATCCATCATCTATAATCCTCACTGGGGGGCGGAGCCTATCCCAGCTGACTCAGGGTGAAGGCAGGTTCACCTGGACAGGTAACCAGTCTATCACAGGGCTACACTTAGAGACAGACAACCAAGCACACTCACATTCACACCTACGGACAATTTACAATCACCAATTAACCTCAGCATGTTTCTGGACTGTGGGAGGAAGCCGGAGAACCCGGAGAGAACCCACGCTGCACGGGGAGAACATGGAGACTCCACGCAGGAAGATCCCGGGTGTCCTCACCGGGACGTGAACCGGCGACCTTCTAGCTGTGAGGCGATGGAGCTAACCACTGATCCACCTGCAGCCTCCCTTTAGTTATGCTTAATTAAATATTTTCTTCCAAGTATATTTTTAAAAAAAAACGTTCTTACTGTCACGGATCAGGTTCAGAGACTTGAACGCAGACAAGGACTCGGCAGTCGAGAGCGTGCAAACAAAAGAGGATTTACTGACCATAAATAATGTTTTACAGAATCAGAACAACTGGTGCCCTCTAGTGGGCTGGCGGAAAAACTGTCAGGACAGCAAAAGGCGAGAATCCATGAACAGAAGTGTCTGGTGACTACGCTGCACAAAGCCACACATCAGGTGTCAAACTTCTGAACGGTGCTGACAGAACAAGCCAGAGATCAAAGCTGACTGACAGACTGGAGGACTCCAGGGATCGGGGGCAGCGTGGCGTGTCCGGGCGTGAAGCCGTCCAGGCTGGTGTTACCACGGCAGGAGGTGAGTGTGGATGATCCAGACGAGATGATCGCTAGACGGAATCACGGGGTCTTCAGGCAGCGGAGAGTGTCAGAACTAGGCCACAAGAAGAAACAGGATTCCAACGCAGAACTTGAGATGGAGAATCAAACCTACAGACCGGGCCGGGGCTCACGAACTGGAGGTCGTTCACGCTGGGTCGGGTCTGCTGGTGCCTTATAAGTGAAGTGATGAATGAGGAGACCGGTGACTGCAGATGAGCTGCTCCTGCCTCCACACAGGGGAAAGGAGGAGGTACTGCCACTAGGTGGAGCCAGAGGTGGAGGGCATGACGCTAACTTGATGCTGGTGTGCGACAACCGCTGCGCTACAAACAGCAAAACTGGGATTTTATCCCTCTGGAGACACAGCGCTGTCCTGCAGCGGACAGACCTCCATCCCCCACCATGGTGCAGACGGCTCAGACACAGGAAGCAGAATCGTGCTAAGCTAAAGGCTAACCCACACAGACCCCAAGTCTCTGTCTCGTGGACACCTGGTCACTCAGCAACAAAATGGCTTCGACCAAATGAACGGGGAGGCCAACATGTGTCCCTCACTGCAGGGTAGGACGGGCGCGTAGAGCTCCAGCTACATCAGGTCCGATCCACCCCGCCAAGAGTCGACACAAGTCTCTGGACGGACACTCGAGGCCTGTGCAGACCAGCTAGCAGAGGTGTTTACCACCATCTTCAACCTCTCGCTTCAACCGTCTGCAGTCCCCACCTGCCTTAACTCGGAACCGTGGTGGTGAGGATGGTGGGGCGTGTGGTCGGATCACACCGCCCCCTACTGGGCGGCTCAGGTGTAGAGCGGTTGTCCTCTAGGTTGGTGGTTCGGTCCCCTCCACAGCCGAAGTGTCCTTGAGCAAGACACTGAACCTGAAGTTGCTCCTGATGGCAGGCGGCGCCGTGCATGGCAGCTCTGTGGCCGCCGGTGGATGAATGTGTGTGAATGAGAAACACAGTAAAACGGGTTGTATAAGTGCAGCCCGTTTACCTCAGATACCCCCCACGCTGCACCACCTCATACTGCTCCCTTATTATCCCCTTATTACACATCACTCCCTATTTCTTGTCTTTATTTTATCTTTATTCTGTTTCGTAATGACTTTGTGCTCTTTTGTGGTATTCATGCTGACCGCAGTCCAAACATTATGATGGTGATTCTTCATCATGACCTGAATTTTAACAGTCATGAACAATACGAAGACGCTTTCATAAAAAATGAAGCAGTGAATAGTTTTTAAGAAGAGGGATGGTGAATGAGGATGTTGTTTCTTTGTTTTTAGGTGCAGTCCCAGTACCTCGTCATGTGAACATCTATAAATATATATAAATATATATAAATATATAAACCACAACTAACTTTTGCAAACTGTGTATTCAGACTTATTCAGACATTTTGTTTTAATTTTTCAACCTTGGTCCCATTAACAGGAAACACACCTTCGAGGGGATTTCATCCATCAGAATGTCCAATATTACCCTTTAAATGGCCCTCAGTCACAAACACTGAGTCTGGCCCCCTTCATGGATCAGTGTTCAGACATGAGGCGTTCTGTCCACCAGCTGGCTGATGGAGTCAGTGGGCAGGACGTCCCACTCTTTAGTCAGATCCTCTGGTTTCACCTGGTAGCTGGGACTCAGTCTGTAACCATCAGTGACCACTGATGTGTAGAAATAGAAATAAAAAGAGGAGCGTGTCTGAAAACAAACATTGTTCCGACTTTATGGGGAAAAGTGTATGTACATGAACAAATCTCCTAAAACCAACTGAACACTTTTTCATGACGCAAATCTACAAATTGTGGCTAAAACCATCACCTTGTCTGACTCACCATCTCGTAGACTTCCCATCATGCCCCACAATGTTCATTTACTGTGAGCTTTGTACTGTCATTGACGTGCACTAAGCTTGTGTTCAGTATCACAGGACACAGGCAGGATTTCTCTGCTTTTACTGTCATTAGCATCATAAACACAAACACATTTGCACATGGACTGCAGGTAAACAATCAAAGCACAGAAGAAACATGCAGAAAATACATCTAAAAACCTCCAGCAGCTACATACAGTTGATCATCTATGTAATGAGTGAACACATGGAGTGCTGCAAATATAGTCAGAGTCCATTTGTCCAGTCAGAAGCCTCAAAGTTTGCTCTCGAGGGTCACGCTGTCTTTTTCTTGAACAATGCTGTTGCGACAGGGAGCCGAGGCTTCGTCGTCCACCACATCTGCTGAGATGGAGATTCAAAAGTAAGCAAAGAGTCTTGAATGAAACCCGAACGTCTGCAGGAGTTTATGCACTCACCTTTGACCTGCCGAGCCAGGAGGCGTGGCCCGGCCAGGCCGATGCCCAGCGCACCGATGGGCGCCGTGGTCAGGATGGCTAACACGGCTAACGTTAGCACATCCAAACCAAACTTCATCGAGGCCTCGTCACCCTCCTCCCTCGCCATGTCCAGCGCCTTGGAGCCAATCGCAGCCTGGTCAACACACAAAGACATAACCACCAGGCACAGAGATGTTCTAGGGGCGAGTTGCAGGGTTTTAGTTCGAATCATGGTGGGTTTTTTGTTTTTTTGGTGGTTCTAGTTCATCGTTAAAAGGTTCAGACGACGTTTTGGGCTCATCTTGGTAGTTCATAGGCCCTCTAGTTCAGAAAGTTCTAGAAAGCCTTCGGATAGTTATTGTTGTTATTGATGTTGTCATTGAGATGATTTTGGGAGTGATTTTAGGGTTCTAGTTGTGATTTAAGGAGTTCTAATAATGATAGTCTTTGTGGTGGTTCCAGTCTCCATCTAGTTGGTCTATTTAGGCTTTAGTCATGACTGAGGAAGTTCTAGAGGGCCTTTGGATGGCTGTTGTAGTCATTTAGGTTTTGGTAGTCACTGAGGGGGTTTTTCGGGTCTTTGGAGGATTCTAGTGGTGACTTAAGACGTTCTAGTGATGGATGTGTTTTTAGTGGGGGTCGCTCATCATCATGAGGTCACAGATGAGGTCACAAAGGTCATTTATTTTGCATTTAGCTTTTAGTCGTGACCAAAGAAGTTCAGAAGGCCCTTTGGATGGTTAGTGGAGCAATTTCTGTTCTAGCAGTCATGAAGGAGCTTTAATGGCCATGTAGAGGGTTCCAGTGGGGGTTTAGGAAGTTTTAATCAACATTGTGTTCAGGGGTCATTGTGGCAGTTCTTCTGGCCAGTGAGGGGGAATTAGTCAAAACAAAAGTTCTAGATGGTTCTAGTTCCTTGTAGTCATTAAGGCAGTCTTTATGGCCATGTAGAGGGTTCTAGTGTTGGTAGATAGTTCTAATCAAGACAATGTTTTCTGGTTGGCTCTAGTCATCAAAACATTCTCACAGTTACCGACAGAGCTTTAGGGGTACTGGACTGGTTACTGTAGTCGCTGAGGTTCGAGTTCTTGGGGGAATTAAGGAAGTTCTAATAAAGATGATGTGTTGTTGGTGGGTTAAACGATTCTGTCAGCGACAGAACCGGTTTCAGGGTTTATTTAAGTATTTTATTTAGTTTTAACTGAGGAAGTCCTAGAGGGCCTTTGGGTGGTTGAAGTAGTCATTTAAGTTCTAGCAGTTACTGAAGAGGTCTTGGGGCTAATTTAGAGGGTTCTAAAGATGATTTAAGGTTCAGAGAACGTTTACAGGGGTCATCTAGGTAGTTCATTTGGATTTCGGCCATGACTGAGGAAAGTCTACAAGACCTTTGGTTGGTTATCTTCACTTAGGAAGCTTTGAGCTTCACTGAGGTGGCTATAATTCTGAGAGGGATTTTTCTCTCGGCCATTTTAGTGGCTCTGGTGGTCATTGATGACAATTTAGGGGTACTTAAGGGTTCTAATGGTGGTTTATGAAGTTTCTTTAAGGCTCCAGAGGTTCTTTATAATAATTAAGGATTATTTCAAGAGAGAAATTGGAGTGGTGACAGTGTCTGAAGTACTTCTAGACTTTGGTTGTCCCAGTCCTAGTTCATGTGGTCAGTGGTCTAAAGGCCCTTTATAAGGTTCCTTTGGGTATACAGTATTTTTAAGGTGTTCAATATGTGATTTCTTTAGTTCTTTACAAAGTTCTGGTCTTGACTAAGGTGATTTTGAAGGTTTTGGAGGACCTTTAGGTGGTTATTTTGGCCAGTGAAGAGGTTTTTTTAGCAGTCTCACAGACCTGCACGGTGGCCTTCGGCAGCCACGCCACAGCGATGAAGAACTTTTCCTTCAGGTTGAATCCTCCATAATGGACCAGCACGAAAGTAACGAGTAGCCGGATCACCAGGCCGATCAGGATGCAGGCCATGCCCAGACCTGATCACAGAGACACCAGCAGACTGCTCAGCGGGTACAACAGCAGCCAGCATGTTAAAGCTGGTGAATTACTGGGTCCCAGCTCGGGAGTCACAGTGTACGGTTCTTACCCACAGTGCTCGGGTTCAGGGTTGCTATGGTGATTTCAGCTCCGATCAGGCCAAACAGGAGTGGCTGGAATACATCCCATGACTGACCCACCATGGCTGCCACCGGGGCCTGGACATAGAGGTAGAAACGGCTGATTTAGGTCAAAGGCAGTGGTCATCAGAAACCCTGACGGTGTGGAAACACGGCTGAATCCAGGCTCAGGGATCCTGCAGCCCGTTACCTTGTCGGCCTTCCAGCCGAGGGCAGCCAGGAAGGACAGAACCAGCGTGCAGAGACCACCGGCTCCGGCAAAACCAACAACATGACTGAAGAACACCGAAAATATGGACAGACCCAGCAGCATGAGGGTTCTCCTCAGCACCAGGTCCTCCTGCAGAAGACAGAGGGCGTTCAGAGACACATCCTGATCTACAACTCCTAAAACTGAAATATAAAACTATGTCAGACCTGGTCTTTGCTGGGGAACAAGCACAGGAACAGGCCCAGGATGAGTCCAGCTATGACGCCTCCCACCACCTCCAGCAGACCTTTCAGGATGTTCATCCATGTAGAACCTGCCGAACAAGAACCAACACAGCATGTAGAACAGGCAGGGTGGAGTCAAGCAGAGCAGGACAGGAACATTTCTCTGACCTGTGGAGAAGGCGATTCCCAGGCAGGTGGAGAATCCTGTTATAGCCAGAATATCATCGAAACTCCCAGCAGCCATCAGCAGGGTGGGGATTCCCTGAACAGCAACACAAAGCCAAACTCAAACATTCAGAGGACAACCCATCACTAGAACGTCATATAACCCAAATACGCTGGTGGTGATCTTATGGTTCCTTTGGAGGTTCTTGGATGAGTAAAGATTATCTAGTGGTCCTTCAGGACATCCCTGTCATCCTACAGGAGGCGCTAAAGATCTTTGGGTGGTTCTACTGGTGACGAACCAAAGAGTTTTCAGTGATCATGAAGGAGGTTCTGTGTCATTTTATCAGTTTTTTTATTTGGTTCTGGAGGTATGGGGTGTGGCTGTGTGGTCATTTAGAAGCCAACTGTAGTGGAGGAGCTTCTACAGGTCATTAGGATGGTTCTAGACGTTCTTTAGGCTGATTTTGTCTCAGAGAATGTGTTGAGGGTTCTATATGAGGTCTTTGTAGAGGTCCTAGTGTTCCCTACGAGGGTTCTGGGACCCTTTTTTGTTGTTTTTTTTTGGCAACTTCGAAGGTTCTTGAGGTCTGTTGGGTGATTCTACCATCATCTGGAATCTTACACCTGTAGAAGAGGTTCTAGAGCTCATCTGGGAGGCTCTGATGGTGACTGTGGAACACGTCTGAGCCTTTTAGGTTTTGAGGTTATAGTTACATGAGCTCACAGACATAAAGCGCCCCCTAGTGGCAGAGAACAGAATCCCCTTTTGTCAGCGGAGCATGTTGATGATTTACCTTCTCGACTCCGAATCCTTCCCTCTGCAGGAGCAGCATGGACGGAACCACGACTGCTGGAGACACTGCAGCCAGAACGAAGCTGCACGACGACATGTTTACACACCGTTAATACAGGAGCAGCTGCAGCTAGCTGCAGCTAGCATGTGGCCCTGATGCATGTCTGTGTGTGTGTGTTGTTGTGTTACCCCAGGATGAAGCCCCAGACCCAGGGCAGCCCCAGCAGCAGGTGAGAAACCACGGCCACGGTGCAGGCCTCCACCATGCAGGGACCGACGGCGACACGAACGCACACCGCCTTCAGCCGCCGCAGCGCCTGCACACAAACGCACACGATTACAGCCGCGTCAGGTCAGCAGCTGGTTACTGAGCGCGTGCAGTGCGTACCGAGGGGTTGAGGCCCAGCCCGGCTCTGGTCAGGATGATGGACAGCGCGATGTTCCTCAGAGCTGCAGACCAGTGAGTGTCGATGAAGATGGCATCGGTGATGTAGGGAACGTTACGCAACAGCAGGCCCGCCAGCAGCATGCCTGCACACACACACACACACACACACACACACACACAGGATGAATTATTATGAGTCAACATGTGATTAAAAAAAAATAGACTGGGTCAGTTAGACCGGAGTAAATTAGGTTAAATTAATAAAGTTAGATTAGATTAAACTAGAATGGCAGAGACCACAATTTCAGGCTCAACAAGATCAGGACAAGCTCGATAAGACATTTTTTCCAACTTTAGTAAATTTATGGGATGTTCGGGTTAGACTAGTTGAGATTAGTCTAGATCGGTCCAGATCCGATTGTACCGCGTTGGTTTGGGTCAAAGCATGTTGGAATGATTCGTTGGGTCGTACCAAGTAGTGGAGGGAAGGGGGGCAGCGTGGGCAGCTGGATGAGTCCGACCAGCTTCCCTCCGAGGACGGAGCAGATGAAGAGGATGACGATGCCGAACAGGTTCCCTCCAGGCAGACACTGCTGGCCGGTGATGGACCAGACCACCCCGAACAGCAGGGCGAAGAGGCACACTGCAGCGACAGAGACAGAGTTAGTGCCGATGAAGCGCACCGCCGCCGGACGGGATGCGAACACACGGTGAGCTTTTGTTACGTTTGGTGACGAGCAGGTTGAGGAGTCCCTGAGGACGAGGACATCTGTCCTTCAGGCCGACGCAGGACGCACAGCAGGACGACGAGTCTGAGGCGGCCATCTTCCTCTGCTCACAAACACAAACACTGAAGCTCAGCAACACTGATGGAAACTGTCGGAGAAGGTTCGAGGACATTTAGGGAATGTTCCCACAACATTTAGGGAATGTTCCCACAACATTTAGATAACGTTACCCACAAAGTCTTTTAATCAAATGTTCAAAGAACGTTTTAAGAAGATGTCCGTTTTCAGTAATGATCTTAAACAATGGAGGAACGTTCTCAAGCCACCGTTAAAAAAAAGTTCTCCAGACGTTATCGAGGCCTTCAATAACACAGCGTTATACAGAACTTTTCATAAGTTCCTGTAATGCGATACG